CAATTCTATCAAAAAAATATTTTTTGGGTTTTTCTAAATTATTACGCACTAAAGTCAGAGATTCGAAAAAATGGAGTAATCTAACTTTCGACTCTTTGAGTCATCCTTTCAAGAACTCTACAGAAAATCCACCTATGTGTAAATTTATTTTGTATTTTATCCCCTCCTGTTTTAAAACTAAAATCCCACTCACATAAAGCAAAAATTTTTCCCACAATTTATTTTTAAAATTTATATAAAAAATGTTTACTAACTATCAATATCTAAATACTCCTTAAAAGAATGATGACTTTTAAGATAATCCAGTTTAGATAAAGTTCCAGGTTCTTTAAAACTTTTTGAAAGTTCTTCATAATAACAATTTAATAGGTCTATATGTTCTCGTGTGAAACGTAATTCTTTATTTTCTTTCTTTTCCGTATAAAGCTTTTGTGTTGATGATCTTTCACAAAATGAACCTGTCCATATAGTAATAACTAAAGCTCCATGATTTTCATTTCTAACACCAAGCTGTAAATTAAAAAGTAAGGCTGAGCTGAGTTATGGTTATTTCCCCCTTAAGCTAATGCAGAAAGTTTTTCGGAGGCTTGAGTCAAGCAGCAACCTTCAGTTGACCGGACCGATGTATTATCCAGCACACCAGTCCGCCTACTGAATAGCTTTAGGAATTAAGAATCTATCTGCCTTACTATTGTTTTATTTAAAGGTTGTCGGTTTTAATCGAACCAAGTTTCGGTAACCGAACCGATATTAATCGATTATCCAAGTTTCGATAAGCTACTATTGGTAGAAAATAGTTTAATTAGATTGTATTAGATTTGTATTAGAACTATTTTTTTTGTATTTTTTACTTTATTTTTTCGAACTATCCCTATTATCGAAAATAAAATGTGTCAATTAATACAAGAATATTTGAATAGAGTTTTTAAATATTAGAGAGCGAGATTTTCAAAAAAAAAACCTTGACCTTGATTTCGGTTGGGTACCTTGACCAGATTCTTGAACTCGAGTCAAGGAAAAATCTGGAACTCTGATAAATGCCTTGATCTGGACTCTGGAAACAGGAAAAATCAAGGTCTGGATCCAGATCCAGTTCGCTCTCTATCAAATATTTATTTAATTGAACACTTAATCTGTTTAGAATTATAACGTGTCTTTGAATTATTGTAGAAACTGCGCAGCCGCTGCGGTCTCAAAAGAAACTTACATCAAAAGATGTCTGAAGTATTTTTTTAAATTCAGACATGTAACATAATAAATATGCTTCTGAATTAATTTCCTCCAAATTAGAAAATATTTGATTAATTACATCATCTAATTTATCGTTAACTATTTTAAGCAAATAATTATTATTCCTCTCAAAATTTTTTGTAATTATTTTAAACTTATCATAAATTTCATTTAACAAAAATATTGTATGTAATTTAGTTTCTGATTCGGTATTCCGAGGAAATTCGGGTGCCTCCAAATAGGATTTATAATAATATATTCCAACATCTCTTTGAAGTAGCTCTATAAATTAAATATATCACATTGGTTTTATAAAGTAAAGCGGTTGGTCCTGTATCCCATTACCTCGTTATGGTTTTTGTGGTTTATTAAAATCACGTATTGGGTAATAAGTGATTCTGTGTTAGGGAATACATTTTTGGGGAGTATTTATAGCAAGTCTGATCTGGATAACTAAAACTTTTTTCGATCCGATCCGAGGAATTTTCGAAAACCATACCCAAAACCACGACTTTTCCATGTCTTGATTTTGTCCAGGGGTTAAGTCTTGGTCTCGACCTTTTTAAATTGAACTTTTTTAGATTCCTTGATTTATGGACTGTCTCATTTTATACTAGCTTGTTCATTATCGGTCTGGCTTGATAATAATGGCTACTACACGCGCAGCAACTTGTAAGCTTCTTAATTTTTTTTCAAATTTTTTCGAACCAACCCTAGTTAATACACGCAGATTTATCCACAGTTTCTTGGTAATCTCAATAACCATGGAATCGTTTTATATAAACTTTATCATCTCAAAATAAAAACTTACCTATTTTTAGAATTTTGGGGTGTTTCAATTCCAGCTTAATTAAATATTCAACACCAATCAAAAGAATTAATTTATCTTTTTCTTTTATTTCGTATGTGCGAGATTTATAGTCCTTTTTAACTTCCATTGAACAAAATATATTTTGAATATAAACATATTTTTTAATCAAATAATCGAGATAATTGTAAACAATTTGTTTAATATTATATTTTGAAATAATTTTTGACGAAGCATTTTCGAAGCCTGTTTTGCCCGGTTCATTTTTAATGTCAGAAATCTATTTAAAATTTAAGATAAAAAATTAAATATATAGGTAGCATAATTCGACAAAATTTTTAATTTATCGTTCCTCATATAGTACCTAGACTGTTCATCCCGTTAATTTTAAACCCATATGCCGTTTGATTTTTTTAAAGACTCCGTTTGAACGACAATTTGCCGTTTATTTTCCAAAAATTCTCCAAAATAATTAACTCTTTATTGTGCTCTTAAACTCTTTATTTTAAACTCTTAACTCTATTTTGTCCTTAAACCCTTTATTTTGTATACTGTATATCAGGGATCTAGCTGACACCATAATTCAATTCCCGATTTTCGGGAATCGGGTCGGCTAGATCCCTGTTGTATTAATACTAATAATATTTAGTGTATTAATAATTACTGTATTTCCTAAAGACTTTTTTCAACTCCTTGAGAATGTGATGTATTAGAGGGTGTATTAGATAGATACTTTTTGAGACGCATACCGTAAATGTTCCCATATTAGCCCTGGGCTTTATTTTTCAACGGGTCCCATTGGGTGGGTTTCTAATGGAGCATGGGCTTCTATAAGGGCATGGGCGTTTAATCCTCAATACCCCTCACCTCATTGAGTGGGCTTCTAATAGGGCATGGCCTTCTATTGGAGCCGGGCTTCTATTAGAACATTTACGGTATATTTTTAAGAGACTTATAGTGAAAATAAAATTTTTACCGTCGGAAATTCATTCATAAAATCAGCATTTCTTTTAATTTCCCAAATATTTTTTAAAACAGATTCTACAAAAAAGTAGAACTGGCAAAGCTTTTCTTTTTCATTTTTAATATTCAATAACTCTAACTTTTTAAGTAAAACAGATTTTTTATCGCTTGTACTAAGATTATTTATAACGCCTCGAGTATTATAATCAAAATGCCAAATTAACGAGTTTATTTCAACCTTTTTTATATCAATTTCTTTAACTTTTTCTTTTGTTAAAAATTCTTCAATTATTTTTATTTCTGTTTAAATATAAAAATATGTATAAATAAGAAATAAGGAAAAACATGTACATAAGTAACCAGGACCTGAGAATAGGGCTGGGCACAATTGTGGATTACGAATTGCGTGAAATTGCGTGTTTTTTTGACTTGCGGATTGCGTTTGCGGAAATTTTTTTCCAATTGCCCAGCCCTGACTGAGAACCATTTGAGTGTTGGAATCACACGAACCGGTCCCGTAATCTCAGAGAAATTTTTCTTCTATACCGAGGAACTTTTGTGGAACTTTTTGCGGAAATTTGTATCCAAGATTCCCAATTTCAAGAATTCCATTTTATCAGTGTTTGCACAGCTCGAAAAGTATCTAGTCTGTAGTTTGTGTCAAAAAAGTTCTGGCGAAAGGTGATATTTTATACCCCCTAGTGACAGTTATGTGAGCATAAGATTCACAGCCAATGAAAGGAAATTTTATAATTTTTCTAGATATTTTACCTTGTGGTGGTTTATCTTGTTTAATTCCTTCTTTTGGGCATTTAATGAAATTTTGTTTCTTTAATAAAAGAAAATTATAATTAATTATATATTTACATAAATACATACTTGTTTTTTATTTTTGGATGGGACAACCAAATCATACATTAATTTGCCAACTTCATTTTCATTTTGGATTTCTTTTAAAAATTAAATATTTATTGTTTTATACATAAAAACCTCAGGTGCTTTTCCGTTATGACGTAACTCCCTAAATTAATGGTCAAATTTTTGGGGTGAAAAATGTGATTTTTCGAATGATAGCTCATTCGAAAGAGCCTGTCGAGCTGAGTGAATGACATCAAAATCAGCTCGAGATCTTGATTATGAGCCAAGATAAACAGGTTAAAAGTGGTCAACGTCGACCTATGTGACGTAGGCGAGGTTTTTGCACAAACATGACCATTTTTAGCTTTATATCTCAGTCCACAAGCATATCCGTGGAAAAAGTGGTACCTTTTTCTAACCTATATATGACATTTTAATCATTAATTTAGGGGGTTACGTCACAACGGAAAAGTACCAAATCTCATAATAATAATTTTAAAATTTATATTGAATCCAGTCAGATAATTAAGGATTAGATCATCCCATTCCCACTAATATTTGTGGGACAGGATTATCGCGTGCTACTGAACGTTTGGTTACTTAATTTTACATTTTCCTTTGCTTACAAATTTTCAGTTATTTTAGTTTTTAAACTTTTGTTTTTGGTTCCTGTTATTTGGCCACATCACCGTTTTTCTGTTTCAGTTCGGTTACAAAACTAGATTAATTACCTTTAAATTTATTCTTAAAATTCTGATCATCATCTAAATGTTTATTGAAAATTTCATGATTTACTAATCGTATTTCCTCAATTTGTTCTTTTATTTCTATTAATTCATTATTCTAAATATTTAAAATTTTATTTCTTTAAAATTATTTCAAAAGAGATCTTGTTCAGAAACCCTCGTTTAGCAAGGCGAGGATATCCAATAATTTATATAATTTAAGGAATATAATGATCCAGCTGGTTAGCATTTAAATTTTAAAAGTCTCACTAGGCGGGGTTTAAGATCTAATAAAAGAGAAGGTCAAAGCAGCGTCCCGGTAGCTCAGTTGGTAGAGCACCTGTACGTGATGAGCATAAGCGCCTAGCAATAACTGCCAAGGGGTCGCAGGACCGATGCTAGCCGGGATTAAACTTTTACCTCGCTCTTAAAAAAGAACAACTTACATTTGTAATTTTCTTTTCACTTTTAGAACTCTCAGAAGTTCCTAAATCTTCCTCCTTTTCAAAACCTAATTTTAAAGTATATAATTCATTCAGTTTTGAATTTCCATAAATAATACAACTTTCTGAATTAATCTCCCTTAAAACATCATATACCCCCAAAATAGCTCTTTTAGTATTTATCCACCCTAAGTTAATTTCATTCACATATTTTTCCTCTATTTTTTTATCAACCGAATGTAATTGAGCAAGTATGGATACCCCATAAAATAACATCAAGTTAAAATCATTATTTTCGTATGTTGCTTTCAACCCCTCAATGTAGAGAGAATATAGTCTTTCCTTTATTTCATCTTGATTTAAATCTGAATATTTTTATTTTTTTAATAATTGTTGAGATTTTTCTTAAAATTTTATTAATAATTAGGTAAATCTGGACCATTAACTGGCGTTTAAAATCAACACGTAGTATAAGGTTACCTTTGGTTACGTAACTACGGTTATATGACGATGGTCAAGTGAAAGTGGTACTTGACCATGTTCTTATGTATACCATGTTCTTATGGTTGTTGTGGTTTTAAAAAAAAATTTTGAAGAATAAAGTTCCAAAAATAATACACTCTCGGTTTATTTTTGTTATTTTATTCAAAAATTAAGTAAGATTTGGAGGGGTTAAAGGGGACTTTAATTGATTAAAGTGTATATCTGGGGATATGTATCTGGGGACACGATCGCTTCGAGTACCAAAAATTGTAGAAACAACATTTATATTTAAAATTCCCCCTAATTCCCATCCCTGCTACTTACCAACATAGACTAAGGATAATACTAAAATGTAATCTGCTTCATAGTTTGGAGGCTCTTCAAATGGAAATAAATGATTTTTTTGATTTATTTCAATTCCAAATAAAAGTTCTCGTAAACGAGATTTAGCTCCACAAGTTTGACGTAAAAATAAAAATAATTTTTTATAATTTTCTGGATTTGTGTATCCCATTTCTTTGATTATACTGAATTTTTTAAATTATTTTTATATTAATTAAAGTAAATATACAGAAATTAGTATTAAAAACAGGAATTAATGGGAATTGAGGACTGAGAAAAGTGAAAAGTATTATATCAGGAAAGATTCTGATCGGCAAAACTCCGAGTTCCAATTCCTGTTTCGGGTACACCCTAACTTACCGCAGCCCAACTTACCACAAAGCTATAACTACGTTCAGAATTGTCGAATCCAGGACGACCTGGTATGGTTCGATTTAGCTCGTTTAGGCGCATCGAACCCTATCAAGGACAATCCTGAACGAAGTTATAGCTCTTCGTTAAGTCCCATTATTTCCCGCCATCCTTTTAGTATTAGTATCTTTTAGGAAATTTTGCTATTCTCCTGCATATTTCTGGCCTTCTTCGGTCCATACATATGAGCATATATTTGGCCTAGTTATGATACTAAGACTCAGAGGGATCTCCATAAAGTCCCGGATCCCTTCCCCTCTACTTCTTATTCCAATTTGATAAAATCCTTGAAAAATACTTTGCGTGATGTTTGCTAAAAAAGCTTCGTATTTCGTCAAGTGTTGAAATTTTTAAGTTTTTATATTTATCATTGTCTTTTCTATATAAAATATTACTCAAATAAGTAATTAATCGTTTTAATATTTTTAAATACTCTCCTTCATCTTGTTCAGATATTGCTTCTCTAAAAATTTTGTTAATGTCAGATTTTAATTCTTCTTCATTTTTCCCTTCTTTTTCGTAAAGTTCTTTCATATTTATATAAATCTCTTTATAAATAAATATTATATAAAGGTGTAATTCTTCTGCAAGATTTCTATCAACGCCAATTTTTTTCGAGAGAATACTTACATATAATTTTAAATAATCTTCCATAGAAATTTTATCTGAATATTTAAAGAATACTGAATTTACTCAAATAATTACCCTCCATACCCTCTCGCAAGCCCAAGGTACCGCATGGCTATAACTTTGTTTAGAATTGTGTAACCGGGACGCCCAGGTATGGTTCGATTCAGCTCGTCGGTGCGCATCGAAATATGGTTTTTTCAGCATTTTCGAACCCGGCACACACTGGTATGTCAGTGCGTCCCGGGTTCGTAAATGCTGGACGAAGTTATAGCTCTGCGGTACCTTGGGATTGCGGTACCTTGGCTTGCTCCTTTCCCCCCCCCCCCTCCCCCCTACAGCCTGAGGTTGGAAAACAATTAACCACTTGAAAATATTATAATTAGCAAAATAACACCAAATATAATTACCCCGCCATCTATTAATTCCCTCGCCAGCAAGTTCAGATAATTCTCTGATACCTATTTGAGTAAGTACAAGGGGTAGATATAGAGGCCAATAACACTCGTTTTCAAGTTTATTTCGGATGTCTAACAGAAGTTTGTTATTTATTTTCCATATTAGGGGTACCCACATTTTTTACAGGAAGGGGAAGCTCCTAACTAAAATATATTTATTGGCTAACCAATTTTTAGCAAAATTGGATGATTCAATTCCAACTCTTCGAACATTAAATCTCCCAATATTTTGTGCATCTTTGCTTTTGTCAAATATATTTTATAATTATAATCATTTTTATCATTTATTCCAACAAAATTATTAGCTAATTTAGATTTCTTAAATTTATTTAAAAATTAGTTTAATTAAAAATATTTTTGAGCCAAAAAGTACCTCATTATTGTCATCAACTATTAGGGCCTTTATTGCATTCAAATGCTTATTTGCCATTATTTTTCGTTCGACTTTGTTTATTTCATCATTCTCTTCATTTAATATTTGTAATTCATTTTGAATAATTTGAATTTTATTCTATATTATAAAATTTGAGTTATAATATTTAGTTAGTGGAAATCGAAAAAAATAATTTTGATAAGATTTCCGATTTCCGACAATTATTTCGGCAGCTTATTCATTCCCTACCAGACCCTGGCTGGAACAACTTCCCCCGTTACTAAACAACATCCGTTACTTTCACTATCCGAACAAGCGTTCCCATGTTGGAACAACTTCCTCTTATGTTGGAACAGCCTCTTATGTTGGAACAGCGCTGTTAGTACTCGTTTGTTGAAACAATTGTCGGCGGGAGAATGGGCGGCAGTAGTTTGGCCTGCTCCAGAAATGTCCCAGATTGAAGCTGAAACAGACATAGGAGGTCAGGGACTACCCGGGCTAATATGGTCCAACTAGACTGACTATAAGACTGGATATATATGTACTAGGGTAGCAGAGCCCGTTTAATTCGAGGTTTATTTTTCCCTGTGGCGGACTTTTTCCTTCTCTCTTCTCTTTTTGACCCGCCACAGGGAACAATAATCGAGGAATAATTAATAATAATAAATAATTCTAAACGGTCTCGTGCTACCCTAATATGTCCTATAGTGCACACTACAAAACAAAATCCAAAATAATTTTATAAATTATCCCTGAAGAAATTACCCCCTTCCCCTAAACGTTGTGATAGTTAGCTTCAAGTTAAGCGTATATGTATCAATAATTGCTGAATTTAATCCCTCATCTTTCTAAATAATTATGAGTGTATTTAATTAAATAATTTAATCATTTTTGTAAAATATTCCATGTTCAAATCATTCATTACCTTATAATTAAACAAAAATTTCTTTACATTTTCCTCTAAATTATTCGACAAAATAATTTTTATTTTAAAATTTTCTTCAGTATTTTCATTGAGAAGATTTTCACTAATCTTCCAATAAAGATTGTTCCATTCATTAACATCCAATTCCCCAAAAAATAATTTAACATAATCGTCTTCCAAATGTTTGTATTTCTCATCTGAAAATATATATCAATCAAATCTCTTTTTTATTTGACGATTTGACGTTAATTTTGGACACTTTTACGTCGTTACTAGGATTGGAGCCCGGTTATCGGGCCAGTCTTTGGCGAAAAGGCCCGATCGGCTCTTCTGCTAGCCAAATCCTAAACCATTAGGTTATACTACTCGATAACATAAAAAACACGCCTGATTAGGGCTGGGGCCCGGTTCAGCCCGAAAAAGCCCGAAAACGGCCCAATAACCGGGCTCCAGTCCTAATCTGGTGTGTTTTTATGTTATCGATTATAAATAGTTTTTAATATAAAGACGGGATCCCGGTTGGGATTTTTTTTAATCCCGCTCCTCAAATCCCGTATTTTACTTAACATAAACTTACAGTTTGCTGAACCTAACAAATAAAAAATATTTAAAACAAAAAGAGGTATTAGAAACATTTGTTGTGAATAAAATTTTGTTTTTTTTATTTTTTTCATTGGAAAATTAAATTTAATAAAAATTTTTTCAAAAATATTTTAAAAAAATATTTTGACTTCAGCTATTTTTTTATCGAAAATAAATAAATAAATTTGAAGTTTTGAAAAAAAATTTGATGTTTTTTTTCTATAAAAATTTAGAACTGGTATTTTGAAATGCAGACGGTAAATCTCCTAATAGAAGCCCTGGACGTTTATTTTTCAAAGGATCTCAATGAATCGGCTACTAATAGGGTATGGGCTCTAGAGATCGGTATTTTAAAAATCCTGGATCTAGATTCTGGATCTGGATTTAGGTTAGTAGCTTGGACAGGATTCTTGATCTGGATCCAGAACAAATCCAGGTCGGTCAAAAAATGCCTGGATCTGATCTCTGGATCCAGGAAAAATCCAGACTGGATCCAGATCCAGAGCGATCTCTAATGGGCTTCTATTAGCACATTTACAGTAGATTAAATTCTTTTTAAAAAAATTTTATTTTGTATATTTTTCACTAGTTTTGCATTACTAAGCATTTCCAAACAAAAATTCCCTTCCTTTCTAGCGTCGAAAGAAATTTTTTGGAATTTTGGGAAATATTAAAGTAGAAAAGGGGAAAAAAAAGTGAAGAAAACTTTTATTTTTTAATTTTAATATTCGCTAACTTTTAAATTAAAATATAAATTTTTCTATAAAGTTAATTAAATAAATTATTAACAACTAAACACTAATTAAATTTAATTAATTAGAGAGGGCATTGCATCTGACTGATTGATTTTATACATGTGGCACTTCTTTTTTGGCAATTTAAAATAATTTTTTAAAGGGAGGGCAATAAAATACTATAAAGAATTTTATTGAGGGGGAGCAAGAGGAGAGGGGAGAGGAGGATAAGGGATGGGGGGGGGGGTATGAAGAAGAGCGGGATATGGTGGGGAGGATGGTGAGGGGAGAGGAGGGGTGAGGGGATGGAGGGAGGGGATGGAAGGGAGAGGGGTGAGGGGATGGAAGGGAGGGGTGGGCAGGATGGAGGGGATGGGGGGAGGGGATGGAAGGGAGAGGGGGTGGGGAGGATGGAGGGGATGAAGAGGTGGCAATAAAATTCAAAAAAAAAAAGAATAAAGGATTTAGGAGAGTAATAGAGAAAGAAATTAAACATTAAATTTTAACTTCAAAATTTCAAAATCTCAAATTTGAGTCGAAAATTTTTTCAGAAATTTTTGTCAAAAAAAATTTTTTTTTAATTTTTCCAAAAAATTTTCTTTTTGCCCAAAAAAATTCATAAATTTGAAAATTTTGACCAATTTTTGGCAAAATTTTACAAAAAATGACAAAATATGGACGAAATATGGACAAACGTTAAAATATGGAAAAATATGGAAAATATGGATTGATAACTCATTATCGGTCTTATCAACATATGCTAAAACTATGTTTTTTGGACGTTTCAAGACCCAACTAGGCCAGGAAAAAAATATGGAAATCCATATAAATCCGTTCCCTACTTATGGTCTTCTAAAATTCTCAAAATTTTCGCCTGCGGCGCTGAAAAAGGAAGAAATCTGTCCTTTGGACTTCCAAAATTCTCAAAATTTCCGCCTGCGGCGAAGTATGTGGTCGGTGTGCTTCGGTTTGGGCTCACTTCCCTTCCCCTAGGTCGGAAATCGAACCTTAATTAAAACAAAATTATTCATAACGTCAAGGCAGTTCTTGAAAGCAATTTTTAATTAAAATCTCTCACGGTTTTAATTTAAAATGAAAAAAATATTTATCTCAAAAAATATTTTTCTTGAAAAAATATTTTTTGTATTTTTAAAAATTATTAGTGTGAAACTTTTTAATAAATAAATAAATTATTTTTTTATTAAAAACTTTCACACTGGTAATTTTTAAAAATACAAAAAATTATTTTATTTATTTTAAAAATATATATTTATTTTATCATATAATATTATTGTGAAATTTTTTAATAAAAATAATTATCTTACTTTATATTTTTACTACACTCTGTACCAAAATGATAGGACCCCCTAATTTTTATCAATATCCTATTAAATATTAAATGGATTTGTTTCAAATTTTGGTAGAATATTTATTATTATAAATTTTTTTTTAAATTGCATTAAACTTTTTCTTCTCATTATTGATACATAATATCCTTATCTATATTCTACCAAAATTTAAACAAATCCATTTAATATTTGGTAGGATATTGATAAAAACTAGGGGGTCCTATCATTTTGTTACAGAGTGTAGTAAAAATTAAAATAAAAATGTCTAATTTAATTGATAATTATATTAAATTTGATTATTGGGGAAGTTTGTTAATTGGTTATCCTCTAAACATTCTTCTGATTATTTTAATTATTTATAAAACACCGAAAGAAATGAAAACACACAGCAGAATTCTGATACAAAATTGTGTTTTGGATATTTTATTTTTGACTTTTCAAATGTTTGTGCAGATGGTAATAGTGTTTAGAGTTGATCAATACGATACTGGTATCGGCCAAACCGAGACCGAGATTAACCGATACTCAAGAACCCTATACCGAGACCGATACCATCATTTTGAGCTGAGACCGATATTGGAAAAAAGCCGAGAATCTCGGTATCGGTCTCGTCTTGATCAACTCTAGTTTAAAAAGGATTAGGTAAATTAGAAAATTATATATTAAGAAAAAATTATGATTTTCTGAAAAAAATTTTCAAAAATCAGAACTATAATTTCCGAAAATAAAAAAATAAAATTTGAATGAATGTAAGCACAAACTAAAATTCTTTTCGATTTTTGGAATTTTTTCAAAAAATTGTTCGGTTTTTTGCCTTTTATGCCCTCTTAATTGCCCTTTATGGTACATATTTCTCTATTTTTGTCGCCTATTTTGACATTTTATACAGCCTATTTACAGTCGCTGCAATTTAGTTAAGAAAAGGGTAAAATCTATGTAACTCCGTTCATCGTCACTGAACTGTGAAACCATCAATGGTAACTTGAACGCGGTCCAGGATTGTACGATAACGATTTCCATTAAGTTCAGTGCCCCTGGGAATTAATCCCCAGTGTACAATCAAGGGGCTCATTCTTCTCAAAGGGCTCATTCTTTTTGGGCCAACCCATTAGTTAAGAAAAGGGTAAACTCTATATAACTCCGTTCATCGTCATCCGATTTGGCAGTTCTTAATGTTAAAAAATAGCTTAATTTCTCCCTCAGTTGACATGTTTCGGCGTTTTTTTAAATTCTGATATTTTCGAAAACTTTTCGACCGGTCTAACAGGTACTACTTTTTCAACTTTCCGGGGAAATTTTATTGAAGTCCGTAAATTTAATATATGATTCTCCTCTAGATTCTGAATACAATGCAAGAAACCGCATCCAAATTGAGCGAGCTATAAATTTTTGAAAATCGAAAAAACCCCATTTTCTAATTTCGAACATTTAGTTTTATGCAAATAACATCAACGGAAATATAATATTAATTTTTACAAACGGGATTTTCTTTGCTTTTATGAAAAATAGTTTCAACAAAATCTTTTACGTTGGCTGTGTAATTGCCTCACAGTCTTTTTACATCTTAAATTTGTATGGAATGTGTGCCCAATTCGTTTTTAGATATTTAATTTTGAACAGGTAAAGCAATAATTGGTGAATCCAAATATAGAATTATAATTTAAAACAATAAATTAAGTTAATTTATTGTTTACCTGTCTAAATAAATTTAACCCCTTCTAATCAACCGATATCCCACTTAATCCCGTCAAATCCTTTGATACTCTGATATTGCTTCAAATCTTCCAGTATTCAGGTATTAAAGGATGACCTCAAATTTTTGATAAATTTCTATTTAAAATAAGAAAATTTTAGAAAGAAAGACTAAATTTTAAGAAATTTTTCAAATTTTGAAAAAACTGGGTCCGGGCCCGGGTGTAAAAAACCGGGGGTTTCAGGGTTTTAGCCAGGAAGACCCGGCCCGGGTCGGATTGGAAGAAAAACCCGGATACCGGGCCCGGCAAATTGAAAAGTTCAAACTCTAAAATTAACTAAAATTCTGATTAAATTAACAGAAACATGAAGATTGACTTTAAGCACTATTTAATCTATATGTTTTCGTCGGTCTTATCGGTTGCTATGGTTTATAATCTCGTGTATATCCCCTTCGACACATTTGATGTGGGTATTAAACAGTTTGATGAGAAAAATTTAAACAAAACATTGCCGTTTGTTTCTACAAAACCTGAGGTATAAAAATTATTCTTTAGAAATATTACAGTGGAGTATTACTTATATTTCCGGGGGACCCAGGTAATATTGATGTTCGAGACTCTCGGTCTCGACTCTCGAACATCACTACGAGGTAATAGTAAAACTTTAAAAATTCGTATCGGTAGGTATGTTAAGAGAAATGGATGATAGAGAGTGGATGATAGATATGATGATAAGGCCTCTCTATCATCTGTGGGTTAAACCAGCGGAAAGGCTAAAAAATCAGAAGACGGAAGCTGAAGAGACCCCATCCTTGTATGGGAGGGCATTATAAAAATAGATAGGTAATTTAAACTAACATTTTATTTAATCAAAAGGATTTGCCAGCATTAATCTTAACTTTTCTTATAATACTTCCATATTTTATAATTTTTATTTGTGGTTTTAAAATGGTCCATTATGTTAATTCGCATACTGGATTTAGTCAGAATATGAAGAGATTAGTTAAGCAATTGACAAAAACTTTGATAATTTTGGTATTTAATATTTAAAATTTTCTTTTAATTTTAAATTTTTAGGTAATTATTCCATTTCTTAACCAATTTTTATCTTTTTCTTCAATGTTCTTTACATTCGACAAGAGAACAAATGATTCCCCCGAGGATAATAATCTAAATTTAATTTTACTATTTCTTAGCAGTTTCAATCATTTTACACCTTTATTTAACCCAATTGTTTGTATATTAACTAATAAGCCCTACAAAGACGCTGTTTATAGTCGGTTGAGGATACATCCACAATAATACATATATGTAGTAGAGTAGCATCCCGACCCCCGAAACCCCGATGGATTTTTGTCAAAAACCCCGACCCGAACCCCGAAGGCTCTACCCCGACAAACCCCGATCCCCGACGCAAGATTTTCGCCTGCGCCACTAAAATTTAAATTTTGAATTTCTATTGAAACCCCGACCCTGTTGTGTCTCTGCACAACAAGAAATAAACAATACAATAATGTGTTTATTACACAAAGAAATAACAATAGTACTGAAGCAATAGAATAAGGTTGGGGTAATATTTAGGAGACAATTAGGAGACACGGACTGACAATTGTGTGAGGCTTTTATAGTAGCCACCACACCACAACAGACCCCGATCGAAAAGTCAACCCCGACCCCGAAACCCGACATGCCTTTTCCGGCAAACCCTGATCCCCGACACAACCGCCCCCGAAGAGTCGGGTTGCTACCCTATAATGTAGTGATTTTATTTGAATGAAGTATTTTTTATATATAATCTTCGCTGATAAATTTTTATAAGCTTTGACATAAATATTAGGGATTTGGAAGGTTTTCGGTGGATTTGGAGGAATATAAAGAGATTTGGTAGGTTGTCGATCAAGGAATTCGGAGAGGGTATCGTAGGCTTAATGTAGAAATTAGTGGATTGGATATCTTCCCCAAATAATTTCAAGCTTGAGACATTCCCTCCTTTAATCCCCCCGACCCGACTTTTTCTCAAAACGTCTCATTTCTGATACATAGAGGATACCTCCTTTAACAACTAGGTGTTATTTAACAACTACACATTCGAGAAAATAATTTTTAAAAACATTCCTCAAGTTACAAATAAGAATAATTAAAAACTAAGAAAAATACCATAACAAAATAACCCCAAAACTCTTTTTTTATTAAAAATTAATTTCTTTATTAAGTTCCACATAATTTCTCAAATATTCCTCTTTCCTTTTTAACGTGTTTTTGGATGTTGTTCAGAAAGATGAGTTTCCAACTTTTGATATGAACTACATTTAAAGGAACAAACGTCACATGAATACCTAAAATTTAAAGAAATAAAAAAGAAAAAATAATAATTTTTACAAACATTATTTCAGCACTGCAAAGTTTAATGTTGTGGTCATTATTCAAATGTGTTAGAATATTAAATGCATAGACCTGAAAAAATTGTTGAGAATTAATTCAGAATAATTCCGGAAAATTTCCGGAAAAATAATTTCAGAATTAAAAATCAGAATTTTATTTCCGGATTTAGTTTATTTCCGGAAAAATAATTTCAGAATTAAAAATCAGAATTTTATTTCCGGACTTAGTTTATTTCCGGAAGAAATAATTTCAGAATTAAAAATTAGAATTTTATTTCCGGATTTAGTTTATTACAGGAAAAATAATTTTTTAAATATTTAATTCTGAAATTAATTCTGAAACAAAAAATTATTTTATAAATTAAACAACACCTTCCCGCATAATTTGCAACGACAACCATCGGTTTTCGATTGTGCTTTCGCTAGCAAATCAGAAGTTACTAGGTAGTGGGACATGAGTAAATGACGCTCAAGGCCTTTAATTTATAGAGAAATTTGTTTCCCAAAGTCATTTTGACTACCTTCATAAGTCCAAAAACGTTCTCTACAACGGCTACAAGCTAAAGGCGCTCCCTGTGCCATATCTGTAGCTGTTTTGCCTTTCAATTGGTTGTGCTTAGATTGCAAATGGATTCGGTAATTATCGCGGTCACGGCAACTAGCATCGCAAATTTCACATATTTGAGCTATTTTTCGTGCAGCATCCGGTGTTGAAGTACCGGTGTTTGTTTTCTAGATTTGAAAATAAAATTTTATTGAATTCAAAAATAAAATTTCATTGAAACAAGAGAAGGATATTTAAAGTAGTATATTTCCGGAAATGACAATTAATTTAATATTAGCTCAAGAAATGTAAGAATAAAAGGTTTCCGGAAATCTATTAATTATTAATTCCGGAAAGAGTTTAATAATATATATATTTCAGAATATAAATCAGAATATTATTTCCGGAAAGTTTTTATTTCCGTTTGTTAATTCCGAAATTAAATCAGAATAAAAGTATAATAATAAAAATATTTGTTGTGTCAATAGAAAAAATTTACATTCAAAGTTCGCACTTGTGCCAGTGCAGCAGGGCTGCTACTAGTTTTTACTCCTGCTGCAGCGGCAGCTGCAGCCAATATTTGATTTGATTTTTGCTGAATTTGTTTGTTCTTTTGTAATTGAAGCATTTGAGCTTTCATTGCTGCAAGGGAAGAATAAAAAAAAATTTATTTTGAGAAAAAAAAGTTAAATTTGCCTGCTTGCAGTAGTTGAGGAGTGATTTTCGAATTATTCGCATTATTATTAGTTGCACCAACACTTCCAGGTTCGTTACTATCCTTAGCAAATCGCAGTACATCGCCAACTGTAGGAATTGTATCTGAACCTCCAGAAGCTATAATTAATTTGGTTATTTCTTAGAATAATATATTATTTTTGGAATGTCAGGAAATTTAAAATAATCCGTAAAAAGCAAAAAAAAAGTAAAATTATATTAATCTATTATTCTGAAATATTTTCTGAAATTCTGAAATAATTTTTTATGTGTATATTTAATTCTGTAATTAATAAAGGAGAAATTCTGAAAAAATATTACAAATATGTATATCAGAATATCTAATTATTAATTCCGGAAAATGCTTTATTCAAAAAAGCTCAGAATATTTAATAATTAAGTTTAATTCTTGAAAGACCAGAATATTATTTAATTAATTCAGGAAAATGTTAAATTCCGGAAATATCAGAATATTATTTATTTAATTCCGGAAAAAGTTTAATTCAGGAAATATCAGAATATTTAATTATTAATTCCGGAAAATGTTTAATTCTGGAAATATCATTATTTCCGGAAAAAGTTTAATTCCGGAAATATCAGAATATTATTTAATTATTAATTCCGGAAAAAGTTTAATTCCGGAAATATCAGAATATTATTTAATTATTAATTCCGGAAAAAGTTTAATTCTTAAAGGATCAGAATATTATTTAATTCCGGAAAAATATTTATTCAGGAAATATCAGAATATTATTTAATTATTAATTCCGGAAAAAGTTTAATTCAGGAAATATCAGAATATTTAATTATTAATTCCGGAAAATGTTTAATTCTGGAAATATCATTATTTCCGGAAAAAGTTTAATTCCGGAAATATCAGAATATTATTTAATTATTAATTCCGGAAAAAGTTTAATTCTTAAAGGATCAGAATATTATTTAATTCCGGAAAAATATTTATTCAGGAAATATCAGAATATTATTTAATTATTAATTCCGGAAAAAGTTTAATTCTTAAAGGATCAGAATATTATTTAATTCCGGAAAAATATTTATTCAGGAAATATCAGAATATTATTTAATTATTAATTCCGGAAAAAGTTTAATTCTTAAAGGATCAGAATATTATTTAATTCCGGAAAAATATTTATTCAGGAAATATCAGAATATTATTTAATTATTAATTCCGGAAAAAGTTTAATTCTTAAAGGATCAGAATATTATTTAATTCCGGAAAAATATTTATTCAGGAAATATCAGAATATTATTTAATTATTAATTCCGGAAAAAGTTTAATTCAGAATATTATTTAATTACCGCCAGCAGCTTTCAATGAAGCAGCTGTTAAAGTAGCCAATTGTTTTTGCTGTGCAGGCGAAAGTGAAGACAATAATTGTTGATTGTTGCGTGTTTGTTGTTGAATACCAAGACGAGAAGCCAAAGAAGGCGAAACAGAATTTCCTCCACTCATTAACAAAGCCCGTTGTTGCCGTAAAAGTTGTTGAGGTGGCAAAACTTGATTTGGCGTTGCAGAACCCCGAAAAGCTGCAACGGCTTGTTGTTGCTTAATTTTTTGTTGTTGTAGTTGTTGTTGACGAAGCTGAAAAATGACATTTAATCGAATTTCTCTTAAATTTTAAGACTTGTTGCTGTCTCTGTTGAGAAGCTGCCTCCTGTTGTTGACTTAAAATAGAAGGCTCAATTGGCGGTTTATCCCACAGCCAACGATTAATAACGTTTATATCCTCAACAGCTCTACCCATTTGAATATTGCGAAGTTTGGTAAGATCACGACGGCACATCTTAAAATTTTTTAAATTAATTTTTTCGATCAAATATGCCTTCATATGCTGATCCCGCTGCACTTTATAATTAAATTCTGCATCACAAATTGGGCATTGCATTGCATTTGGAGCTTGGTCTACAACGACCGGTTTAAAGCAATGAGCCTCTCTATAAAAATAATTTTTAATTAAAAATTAAGCAATTAATTTACGTTATATGCATAATCATTCGATTCTCATTTGTGTCAAATTCGCGACAACTAAAATTTAAAATAAGGGAAAGATCAGAATTAAAAAAACAGAATATCTCATTTCCGGAAATAATATAATTTAAGTAAAATAATAATTTAATCCGGAAAAAATCAGAAAAATATAATTCAGAAAAATAATAATATGAATATTTAAATTAATTCCTGAAAAAGTTTAATTCTTGTGAACAGAATATTTAATAATTAATTCCGGAAGTAACAGAACATAAATAAGTAATTCCGGAAAAAGTTTAATTCCGGATATTTTTGATTTAATTCTGATATTAGAAAATAAGTTAAAATCAGAATTAAATTCCGGAAATGTTTAATTAAATTAAAATAAATTTCCGGAATAATTAATTCCGGAAAAGTATTTAAATATTTTTACAATAAATCTATTCCGGAAAAATCGGTGTCCGGAAAATTGGGCTCTGGAAAATTGGGCTCCAAGATTTTTCGGAAATTTGGGCTCCAACTTTTCGGAAAATTGGGCTCAGCGGAATTTTGGGCTCTAATTTAGAAAAACGGAAAATTGGGCTCTAAAATTTTGGGCGCGGTGCATTTTGGGCGTCGGATTGAATTTTTGGATTTATTCGAGAAATATCACAAAATTCTATGGAGTGCTGATACTTAGTGGGTAGGTCGGCATTTCAAAGCTGAAAATCAGTAGAAAGGGATAGGTTTATGTTACTGTTGTAGAAGCCAGCGACCGTTGACTCCCGCGAGGCGCGTGCCGCAAAATCCCGCGCGAAGCGCGGGATTTTGCACAAGCGCCTCGCCGACGCCCATAGGTTTACGTTCTAATAAATCCAAAAATTCAATCCGACGCCCAAAATGCACCGCGCCCAAAATTTTAAAGCCCAATTTTCCGTTTTTCTAAATTAGAGCCCAAAATTCCGCTGGAGCCCAATTTTCCGAAAAGTTGGAGCCCAAATTTCCGAAAAATCTTGGAGCCCAATTTTCCAGAGCCCAATTTTCCGGCACCCGGAAAAATCAGAATAAAGATTAAACAAAATTCTGATATACTCACAATGTACACTGATATCGTCTCCCAACATAATGCAAAGTCATTCTATGTGCACTCAATATCTAAGGGGGTTAAAATTTTTGAGAATATTTTAAATTAAATTAAATTTACCATCTTGCTTTCAGTTTTAAACCCGCAAACATGGCATTTATAAATTTTTAAAACAAAAGGGGCATTCTTTTCTATAATATTTTTAAATTTTTATGTAAAATTTAGAAATTCTGATTTAATTACAAATCACCTTTTAATGACTGCCAAACAGGGCGGAGTTGGGCAGCCACCTTAAAAGTGTAAAAATAATTTAAAGGTGAAGTGGGAAAGTTTAGTTCAGAGAAGTAAATATAATAAGAATGACAAGAGTTAATTCTGAATAAATCAGAATTTATAATTCCGGAAAATATTAATATTATTTACTAAAGAAAATCAGAATTTTAATAAAATCAGAATTTTAATATTTTTAGAATCAGAATTTTTAATAAAATCAGAATCTTAATATTAGTATTTAAAATCAGAATTTTTAATTCTGGCCTTATAAAAAATCAGAATTTTTAATTCCGGAAAAGATTAATATTATTTACTATAGAAAATCAGAATTTTTAATTCTGACGTTATAAAAAATCAGATAGGTATATTTCCGGAAAGTATAATTATTTAATAAAAAAATCAGAATTAAATTCCAGAAAATACGTTTAAAAACCAGAATATTAAACAAGTCTCCCCAAAACTTCACCTGTTTATAAGTATCCATATTTTTAGGCATTTCAGGTAAATTCTTAGCATGTACAATATCAAAATAAGTAGATTCTTGAACTAAATCTTGTCCCATATCCATTAATAATTTTGTCATATTTGGGGCTGGATTTGTAGCCCTTAAGTATTGCCTCTCCCTCCGTTCATTTTCCGCCAATTTTGGACGTTCCTCCCCAAAAAGTCGGTTAATAACACGTGAAAGTTGGTGATCGGGGTCATGTTCAATTAATAAATCGACAACCTTTTTGAGAATTAATTTTTAAAAATTATTTTTTCAACCCACTTGTGAAGGAGGGAAAGATATTGTGTTTGGAAGGACCAATTGTTTATCAAGTATTAATTTCCGAACAGCATAAGGCTCTTTTTGGACTTGGATGTTAATTGCGGCAAGTAACGCATCCAAAACCTTTTTAAAATTATTTTAATAATTTTTTTTATTTTTTAAAATGAGGGATAATATGTAAAAATTAAAGTTTCCCGAAAAAATCAAAAATATTTTTTTCCTAAATTGTAATAATTCTGTTAATATTAAATAGAATAATTTTAGGATTGAACTACAAAAAATTAAGGTTCCCTTCCCAGCCGATTTAATATTTTTATTAAAAATCCGAAGACCGAGAGCCTGCCCCCAAAGTTACCAAACCCACAGTGTCTTAACGGTGTGCGGACATATTGGGACGGACATATCTTGATTGGGGTGACAAAAAAAATTTTTGCGTGTTTACGTTTGTTCTAAAACTTAAAAACTCTATTCCTCAACAGGACAATATACTATCCAAGACCCATTGTCCGTAGATCCCGAAATCAGTAGGGTAACTGTTCGCACATTGAAATATCCCGATATGTCTGTCCCGATATGTCCGCGTGCCGTCTTAACACACAACCAACTACCCACCCGTGCACTAGTTATAAATTAACAATAATATTTTTAAAATTAAAAAAATTATTGTTCCTTAAATTTATTTCAGTGGAAGGATATTGGAAAAAGACAGATTAAACGAGTTAACTCAATCGAAAAATTTTTTTAAATTGAAATTGCCAGCTTTGAGGAATACAAAAAAAGATTTTTTTATTAAAAATCCTTCACCTTTCTATCCATATTTTCCCCCTTATCCAAAGCATTCAGCACATACAATTCTAACCGGTCTAATAAAACATTGTAAGAATTTAGAGGTGTAGAAGAAGCTGAATTATTTAAATTTTTGGTTTTTGAGTTGGGTGTATCCTTGTCCTTTTCTTCAGTTTGTATTGAATGGGATATAGATGACTGAAATTATTTTTAATTGAAAAAAGTGAAAGAGAACACAGAAAATATCCATAAAACTGTATCAGTTACCCTCACTCTAATAATCGCCCCCTCTCACTTAATTGAAAATTTTCACTTATAGGAGGTTTTTAATGCGTGGACGGATATGGACGTATGAGGTGTCATTCGACTCAGCATGAGCTCAGCTCGGCGAGCTGACAATGAGTCACATAATACGTCCATATCCGTCCACTATTAAAAACCACGTTATAAGTGAAGAGTACCAATTAATTATCCCAATTATGAGTACCAATTATGAAGAATTGGTATCCCAAAGAGTACCAATTATATATGAAGAGTACCAATAAATACCCAGAATAATTATTCGAAAAAATACAGTATCCACAAAAATTGTGGATAGACCGAGTTCTGAGATTTTCTTGTTTGTTTTACAATTATGGCCAAAATACAGGGAATAAAAATTATAATTGCCCTGGCTTCGATGCCTTAAAAACGACTGTTAATTTTTAATTTCTTAGTTAACCGCCAAAATAAATTTTGCTCAATATAAAATATTTTGTTTGCCAAAAATTAAAAATTATTTTAAATTTTAATTTCAAAACCCACGTCTTTAGCCGCTCTAGGATCTTCCGGCACCGGACTTGAACTTCCATCTCTAGGCCATTCACTATTTCTCCTTTGCCCTGTTGCTGCAATTTTGGGTCTTTTAGCTGCTGGGGGTTTTTCTTCAATAACTTTAATATCATCCTCTTCCTCCTCCCCTCCTTCCCTTTCTTCATTCTCTTCCTTTCCTTCTTCCCCTTCATTATCCTCCTCAATTTGTTGAATATCTTCGGCTACAACACCAATACTGTCATTTTCATCATCTTCCAATAGTTCTATACAATCAACCGATTTTGGGGTATTTTTAGTGTTTTCATCTTCTTTCTGAGTGTTTTTGGGGGAAGATGAAGATGATTCGACCATTTCAATTGGCTTGAAAAAATATTAATAAAAATATTCTGAAATATTTTCTCATCTGAGAAAATTTTAGACTCTTTGACTTATTGTTAGTATCAAAGCACTCTCGACTCTCAGTTCGCGGGCAGAGTCGAGATCCTTTCTTATAGCTAGGGTCCGGATTTATATTGAAAGCACAAAACGACCTTGTTCGTGAACAAGCCTTGGCTGATCAGTGTCTGACCATCGAGTTCGAAAAGACGAAAGACAGGAATAACCAGTGATAGATGTGATGAAAAAATGGAAAGAGAGTGGTCAGTTCGCGGGCAGGGTCACTTCAGTGATTTATTTCAAAATAAATCCGGACCCTACTTATATGTAGCATTCTAAAGCTCTATAAATGTGCCGAATATTTTTTGAATAGGACCTGTTCCGGCTTTTCGGGGTTTTTAGCCCGGAACCCGGCCCGTGTCTGATTGGAAGAAAAAAGCCCGGATACCGGGCCCGGCAAATTGAAAATGTCGAACTCTATTTTAGATTTCTATAGAAAAAATGACATTTTATCCCAAGATTACTGTAAACAAGAACATTAAGATAAAGTCCAAAAATTGTTTAAAATAATTTCAAGGCGGTACTTTCCAATCAAAACAATACCCGCATTCGGGTCAGGGGTGAGCGCATTGCGTTTTGCGTTGTGTTTTTTGTGATAGCCTCTTGCGCGCAAGAGGAAGAGGTTATCGCAAGAGACTTTCTTTGAGATTTTCTTATCTCAAGAAACGTAACGCAAGGCCAAAATTTAATGCAAAACGCAATGCGCTCACTCCTGACCCGAATGTGTGTTTAAAATTATTTCAAGGCTGGGTCCGAGGTACAACTCTAATTATAAGGCAATCTATCGTATTTCCTCTAAAATAGCCCCATGGGGTTATTTTTTTCGATCAACCTTTGGAGGGGGCTATTTTAAAGGCTGGGGGTTATTTTAGAGGCTAGGGCTATTTTAGAGGGTGGGTTATTTTAGAGGAAATACGGTATCTTGTAATATTTTTCACTCACCTCCTTGTCATTAGCTTCATTCTGCTCTTTCCCACTTTGTTGTAGTTGATCTACTTCCATTGTTTTTTCTTCCTGTAAATCAGAAGTAGACTCTATTACTGAAGAATTTGAAAGCATTTTTAAAAATTATTTTAAGTATTTTGGGCAGTTTTATAAAAATTATGAAATATCTAAATTTGGAGAAAAATTGAAAAAAAAAGTTAAGGGGGAAGGGAGAAAAAAAAATTTTTTAAAAAGAAAAAAAAGGAGAAAAGCGTATAAGCGAGAATGTTTGAGAAATCAATAAAATCGATAAAAATGGAGGATTTAAAGACAGAAACGGAAAAATAAAAAAAAAATTTGACAAAAATTAATTGAAAAATTGTATTTTTATGGAAGGAAATTAAGTTTTCTGTAGGTTGAAATATTTCAAAATTTTAGAGGTTTTTAATTTCTGGTAACTTTTGGGTCTTTGATCTAGTGAAATTTACCGTATTTTCTCTAAAATAGCCCCACCCCTCTAGAGGCCGATCGAAAAAAAACCCCGGAGGTTATTTTAGAGAAAATACGGTAGTCTCGATTTAAATGCACATTAATTTTCAGAAATTATGGGTTTGAACTAGAGACCGGACTTGAGTGATCGATCGATAATATCGGTATCGTTTATCGATAATATCGATATTTTTTATCGATATATCGTATCGGTCCGGTCTCTAGTTTGAACCCAGTAGTAAGGGAAAATTTTTAAAGAGAATCCCTCGGTAGCCGAAATTTAACGCAAACCAACGTTGTCAGTGGTTTCATTGGAATTTTATAATTTTTGAATAAAAATAAATGAGAATGTTATGTACATATGTACATATTTTATTAGTTTTTAATTAAAATTAAAATTCGTTAGAGATCAAATCTTTTTTTTAATTAAAAATAGCCTGTTTGGTCGTTAGAATTCGGGTCACTTAATTCGCTGTGCATTTACACAAGTAAGGGTTGGAATTATGTAGGAGTGAAGTTAAATTATTCGAAGGCGTTTCTTAAATTAAAATTCCAAAATTTTATTTCAAAATACCTATATTTTATTTATATATGTATTTATTAGCATTTTTCAATGAAAAATTATTTTAATTAAATCAGGCGATTTTACATAATATCAATTAATACAAAAATATTTTAAGAAAAACATAAAAAATTAAAAACATTGGAAAAACACCGTTATTTACAATTAAAAGATTAATTGCTCCGACAAGTAAATTACATTTACAGTTTTTGACCTCCCTCGGATTTTTTCGTCCTTACTCGGGGCGAACTTGAGATACTAATACTTTGGGGAGGATCCTAATACCTATTCAGGCTCGGTGTAAACCTAGTCAACTTATTCACAATTACTCGACTACTAAATACTCGACGCTAGTCGAGCCCGGGTAAGGACGAAAAAATCCTAGGGAGGGCAAAACTTTAGAATAATCTACTGCTCGAAAGTAACCTACAACTAAATATAAAAAATTTTACAAAATATATATTTATAGATATACAAATTTACATATTTACAAAATAATTAGAAAATACTAAAATAATGGTAACCCAACTAGTTTTGAGTATAACACAAAAATACAACCGACGAAAATTTGCGTTGTGTTTAAATATACACATTCGCCATTAAATGAACGAGACGATTATTGATTGTCCTTTCTGTTGCTGTTTAATGTTATATTTCTCTTATATAGCGAAATTCTCATTTTTATATTAGAAAATACACTTGTGTATTTTTCCTCTAATTTCTCTAATTCTCTCTTTTATATACACACTCTCTCCCTATTTTATATTCCCTTCCTCTCCCTCTCTCTCATTTAAGTAGGCTTTTTAGTTGAAAAATATATGTATTTTTACATCCTTCTTCTCCAAACACAACATTCATCCACTTCACAGGGAGAAATACATACCTCCGTTTTTTGTAAACCGAGAGATCAAAAAGTCCATTAGAGTCGGTACTCACATTCCTTAATTTCAAAATTGGTGATCTCTAGGGTGTTGATATTTTGGACGAAATCAAAACTAGACAATTGGTGATATTCTGGGTAGAAAGCAGTAAGAAGCAAATGGGTCAGCTCAAAACAACGCGCGGCGCAAAGCCATAACTAGGTGGAAAATTTCTGGCCCTTATCAAATTTTGGTACATACTAAACTCTTTAGCTCTATGAAAGGAAGCGTTTAATACTAAAATTGGTAAAATTAGGAAATCTTGAAGCGAGTTATGGCTTCGCGTGTCCCGAAGCAGTAAGAAGCAAATAATCTATTTTGACATGCTGACAGTTCAGAACGGACATATCGGGGTATTTCAAGAATAGTTAATTTCTGATTTTAGGCGCTATGGCCATAAAGTTTTGCATAGTAATCATATTAAAGAAGTGTTTTTAGAGGCAACATAAACATTAAAGAGATATTTTTGTCACTTTTTTCCACTCCGTTCTCTAGTTTCTATTGTTTAGTAATTTTTAGTAAAAATTTTGCCGGTAAATTACCTATCGTATTTCTGACCGTGTACGTAAATAAGGGTAGAATCGTTTTTTTTCTTCATTTTTTCCTATCCATAGTTTTCCTTAATTTGTATATAATAGTAAGGTTCTCCTTGCTCAGTTCAAGTTTCCCCGAATTTCTCTACAAATTACTGTAGATTTAAAAAATAAATAAATATACCTATTTTTACTTAAAAAGTGCATTTATGTGGCAATTGATTATTCTCTTTTTAATTTTGCCGAGGAAAAATACATTAATCAATTTTTTTATTTGGCCAGCCTTTTATATTTTTAATAAATTTAAAGGAAACACAGGGTTGTTAAGGAAATATTAAATTTATCTTTATTTTAGACAAAACAACTTTAAAAAGTAATTTTACATAAAAACTTGTATCTATTTAATCATTCAGGGGAGTGTGGGTTTGAAGATCCGGGTATCCTGGTAAAGTCATGAATTTTTCTGTCATGCTGCAAATGTCAGGAAATCCCCGAAGCTTTTCCCAAAATCTTCCGTTAAGTATTAATTGCCCTCCCTCAAATAATTACTCCACTTTTATTAATTACCCATCTAGCGATAGATAGAAACAATAATTACCGCCCAACAAACGCCCTAAAACACGTTCAAATTTCAAACCTCATATAATTACCCTTCCTCGATTAATTACTCCCTCAAGTTGAAGGTTGAAACAATAATTACCCAGGGTAGTTATTACAGGATATACAGTAAATACTCTTTTTATTTGTTTAACCTTACTTATTATCCAATAAATGTCATTGTTTCCACTAGAAACTACTTAAAAAATAACTGATATCGGATACAGATATTCGGGGATTTCTCAGGGTTCGCCAACTTTTGTGGCAACCTTGTCATAAAAGCCAGTATTAGCCTACTTTGTAACTTTCGACTTTGGATAAACTGCTACATATTCTTGTACACGTCGACTTCGGTAAATCTCTGTTGGACATACCCCCCCCCCCCCCCCAAAAAATTTTTTTTCAAAACAAATTTCAAAAATACCGTATTTTTTCTATTGAAATGCCATGGCATTCTAATTTTCAATCACCTTCCAAAGTGGCATTCTAATAGAGCTAGGAACGGGTCCGTTCCCGGTTTCCGGGTCCTATTTCCCGGTTTTTTTGAAGCAACCGGGATGAAACCGGGAACGGGTTTTCCCGGACCCGGTTCCCGCCCGGTCCATTTTTCAGAACCCGTTTTCCGGACCCGGTCTCGGTTTTTTCAAAATTTCTAGCTAAATTCTAATAGAGAAAATACTTTAATTAATTTTTAGAAGAAAATGTTAATTAAATTATTTTCTTTAATAATTTTACAAATATTTATTTTATTTTTATTTAAAACAAAAAATTGTTTGGCACATGATGTTGAATTAAAAATCAACGAAGATTACGAAAACTCTCGTCAATTTAATTATTTATTTAATTATAAAATGAAAAATTTAAATTTTAAATGTAATTTATGGGTTAAAG